GGCGCCTGTAGTCCCAGCTACTCGGGAGGCTGAGGCCGGAGAATGGCGTGAACCCGGGAGGCGGAGCTTGCAGTGAGCTGAGATCCGGCCACTGCACTCCCGACTGGGCGACAGAGCGAGACTCCGTCTCAACAACAACAACAACAACAACAACAAAAAAAAGTAATGGGCTGACTGTGCCCCCAAACATGGGGGCCCTACCCCCTGGGTGGGAACCACTTTCATAAAAGGCACTGGCTTGGACCTGGGCAAAGGGAACGCTTTATCCTGAAAAAGTCACTGTAACGAAGCTGGGCTAAGGCAAAGCCTCCTAATTCAATCATAGGCCCTAATTAAACTGCGTGCACTGGGGAGAAATCAGTTCGCTGCGGGTGGGACAAGAGCCTCCTAAACTTGGGTTGCCGCCAAGCCGCCTGTGACTGTGTGCCAGTGTCGTGGCTGCCTTGCCAGGGGTGAACTGATGAGCTGTTACTGTAAGACTGCACGAGCAGCTTCTGTGGGGAAAGGAGGGGTTTCCTTCTAAAGTCCTCGGTGGAGTTTTTCCATTTGGTCTGAGAGGAGCGGTGAGGGAGAGGCCAGCTGTTACTCCCAGGCAGGATTCAACAGTTTTTATTTTTGAGACAGGTTGCTGCTCTGTCACCAGGTAGGGGTGCAGTGGTGTGATCTCTGCTTATTGCAGCCTCGACCTCTCGGGTTCAAGCGATCTTCCCACCTCTGCCTCCCGAGTAGCTGGGACTACAGGTGTGTGCCACCGCGCCTGGCTGCATGGCTAATTAAAAAAAATTGTTTTGTACAGATGGGGTTTCGCCATGTTGCTCTGGCTGGTCTCGATCTTCTGGGCTCAAGTGTTCTGCATGCCTTGGCCTCCCAAAGTCCTGGGATTAACAGGCATGAGCTACAGCGTCCAGCCAGATTCAGCATTTTAAAAGCACCTACAGCAAAGAAGCACACCTGAGGCAGGGTCTTCACTGGCGTTGGGGGCTGAAGGCCGAGCAGTGCCCCCACATGCTCATATGAGAAATGAGTGGCGGCGGCGCAATGGGCTGGCTGTGGCCCTGGGTGTAGGGGGAGGGGCGGGGCCTCCACTCTCAGGTGGGAGCACTCCTGGCCAAGAGAACTCCCTTCTGGTCTCAAGTCCATCAGCCAAGAGGAGCAGAGAGGCCAGAAAACAAGGTCGGGGTGGAGGGCCAAATTGTGTCCCCATCTTGAGACCGAAATGGAGTTGCTTCCAAGTCAGCCTGTGCATCCTACTGACTGTCAAAGCCAGGCCAGGGACACCTCGGGGCGGGCCCCAGAGGCAGGCTTCCTCCCTCAGGAACACTCAAAGCAAAAGGGAGGTGTTCAGTTGGGCTTACACAATGCTCTGGCCAACACCCAAATCCACCCGAGTCCGGTGCCCTTCTCTGCCCAGCAGGTCAGCGCCATCCTGAATGTACTGAAAACCACCGTTGGTCCCACAGAGGAAATTCCACAAACCCCAGCCCCGGAACAGACTGCCCCATCTGGAAACACAGCAGTGGGCAGATGCCACCCCCTCATCCCCTCCGGCCCCCCTGCAAGCCCAGCTGGCACCCACATCTACCCAGACCCCTCTGCAGGCTCCATCGCTTGCTGGGACGGATGGGTGGGTGCATCCACGTATCCCAACCAGCCTAGAAGCAGCGAGAAGTCAAGGCCCTCCAGGCTGTCTCCCACCTCACTGCCGCTGCCAGGTGTGGCCCGCCCCCCAGCACAGGGAGTGAGGAGACTGGGCATCCTCTGCCCTCGGTTGTGGGCAGTCCTGTGAATGACACAGCCGTGAGCAAGCGCGTGGACATGGGGGCACTCGCCAGCACACATCCTGAGATGGTGGCATGGGTCTGCCCCCACCCGCCTGT